GGGGGGGGGGGCGGGTTTAAATACTTAAGCTCTGAACCTGAAGCCCTAAACTCAACACGCCACAACCTGATGAGGGCTCAGGGCCTGCCCGGCATCATTCTCATTGGTTCTTCTTACCGATTCAGACGGTTCGGTTTCACCTTTCGCTGTCCGTCACATGTGTTGATACAGAGCCTGTTTTGCGGTGAGTGGGAGCATTGGGCATACTCTGCCTATCACGGAGACACTGGGTAAACAGGGAAGGTTCCTATGGCTATTTTGGGACTAACGTTCTGAAGAGCTACCGTGTGTTGAACAACTTCAGCGGTTCAGATGATAAGAGTGAGGCGCAGAATCTCAATTCGAGTATACGGCATCGTAACGGCACTTCCTTTCATACAACATACAGCAGGACATAGTCAGGACCAGGTCAAGGAGCTAGAGTTCATCGTGCAAAGTCTCCTTCTGGCTTCAAGGTCCCTGAGCATTGGTGTTTGGACTGCAGGCTTTCTGGCCTTTGCCACTCCGGCTCTGTTGCTTGTCGCATGCGCTTCTTGGCTAGGCAGATTTCGGCAAAGTCGTGGACAAGATCGAGGGCATGGTCGAGCTTTTGGCCAACGAGTCCGCTGACGATGCCTCCAAGCAAGCCTACTGCAAGAAGGAGTTCCGCGAAGTGGCCGCAAAGTCCAAGTCCCTGGACTCCAAGATCAAATCGCTCACTGCCAGCGTGAAGGAGTGGGGAGACGGGTTAGGGTCGACCTCTATTTGGTAGTAGAGTAGGACCCTTTTGACATTTTTGGGGGCTACAATAGCCGCTATATGACCCAAAAGATACCGGACAAGGAAAAAAAAACTGGGCCAGCCCGAAATCCCAAAAAGCAATCGGCCCCCGGCTCGAGCCTATATGTGACAAAGGCTCCATGTACCCATGTAAGATATTCTTAGGCCTTATAGTGCCTAAGTTGTTTTTCTAAATGGTTACATAGAGCCTTAGTTTGGGCATTTAACAAATAGATTGCAGCAACACTTCAGGTTGTCAGTTCATAGTGTGTCCAGCGCAGAAAACATGTGTCTTGCAAGCTTGTTGTGTTTACATCTTACACGCGCTGCCGCAGCAACCCCGGCACGCATGCGCGCACACACACACACACAGACAGCAGGAGAAGAAGTCCGCGATTGCCAAGCTCGCCGGTGACATTACTGCCCTGCAGGCGCGTTAGGCGTATTTCTGTCGGTTTCCAACGGCAGAGGCCCATGTACGACGAACTGACATGAGTCGTCTCGAGAGGAGACTACTACAGAAGGGCACGAGTAACTAATCGGTATATTTCTTTCACAAACCCGAGACCATTGGAGTAAAGTGCTGCGGTTCACGGTTGGTTTTCTGGTGTTTGGACACCCAGTTGACAGTCCCTGCAATCCTTTCGCTTGTTTGACCGTCGTGGGTGACCTTGCCCGGCTCGTCCGAGTCTGAGTGTCAAAACCCTCTACAGAAACCCTAAACTCTAAACCCTATACCCTAAACTCTACAGAAGTCTGCACCGGCAAGTATTGGCAGGCGGGAGTCAAGTCTTTGGACGAGTCCGTGGCAAAGGCTGGCGAGAACAGGAAGGCTGAGCACATCGAGCACCTTGGTGATACTAGGTGCCGAACAGAGTTCTGCCCTTTGGATTTTGAGGTCTCGCTAATCAGAACCTGTCGGGAAAGCAACCTTTTTCGGCTAATTATATACGCGTCTGGAGCCGGTTACGGCCCTCGAAGTCCAAGTCACCTAAATCGTGAACCCTACGGAACGAAAGCCTTGAAGCCCAAATTGCCTGAGAGCTGCCACTGCGGTTTCGGGTTGCACCCCTAGGATGAACTGTTGTTTGCATTGTTCTTTTTTCTGGGCTTCGGCTGCCAAAGTGCTCAACTACCGTAGCATTAGACGGGATGCTGTTTCAGCGTTCTGTTCTCCTTTGTTTATGGGCCGAAAGGGTAGGCGCCACGGCGCAGCGCGCTAAGGGTCTCAACCCTTAGCTCGGCCTCTCGCGTTGAGAGTTTAGGGTTTGTCTAAAGAGGGGCTTAGTGTTCCGGTTGGACTGGCACGCTGTGTTGTGGGGGATGAAGTTTGCAACAGCTTGCGGTCAATGTGGTTTCCCAATGGCTGCGATTCGGGCAAAATGAGCCTGAGCACTGAACTTACTTTGCAGGTGATCTCCATGTATTGATCAAACGTATCACGAACCCTCGTTGCGGACAGCTCGAACACAAGCCAAGAACTAGAAGCCTCTATCTATGAGATGAAATGAGACGGCTTAGTTCCATCGGAAGAACTTAATTAGTCCCGTTTATGCGAAGTTGTCATAAACCGATCAGCCGATGAACTCTACACATCTCTGAAGCCTAAACACTGAAACGCCTTGAAGGTACCAGGAGAGAATGTCCTCCAACTCGGCCTCTCTGGACTTGCTGACGCTCGCCCGAGATCGCATGAACAAGGTCTACAACCCCACGATGGTCACGGAGACGACCACCAAGAGCCCATATGAGCCCTAGCCGCCCTAGCCCTCAAGATTCGGAGTGTGGGGGGGGGTCGACGTGTTGTAGTTGAAGAGCTTATAGGATTCAAAAAGTGCGGGGTTTCGAGCTGATGACGGGAATCCGAGGTAACCTTAAGCTCTCCGTTCGTCTCCAACCCAGGCGCTCTCCTTCTTCCAGCGGACCTCAAGGAAAGTGCAGCAGCCTCCTCCTACTTTCGAGGGTGCCTACGAAAAGAAGGGCGAGGAGACGCCGGGAGGGCTCTAAAAGTCACAACTTCCTCTGCCGGGGGCTTTGGGTATCTGAGAAATTTCTTGGGTTTGTCTGTACGGTGCAGTATTTCCGGAAGCTTTCACATAGGCCAATGAGTACTGGCTGTTTGCAGTTCCTTGACTTGGTGATGTGACGGTTCCTACACAACCATGCTTGAAGACAAGATGTTCATGAGCATCTGTCTTAGCCCATGTAGACCGTACTCAACGCGTGGTTTGCAGTGTTGGAGCAACGACTCCCGAAGAACTAAACCCTGAGAGGAAAGCAACGGCGTCCTGAAGATGATCGACACGCTGTCCAGCGACATCGAGAAGGAAATGGCCGTCGCCAAGACTGAGGAAGAGGATGCCCAGGAGGACTACCAGGAGACGATTGCCGATGCTGCCAAGACGCTGGGGCAGCCCCAAATCCCCAAACCCTAGACCGTAAATCAAGAACTTAGAAACCCTAGCCTAGAGCAACCGCAGCAATCTGCAGAAAGCCTTGTACTAGCCGTACTAGCCCCATAACTCCTGGTCTAAGAGGGCGTTGTAGGGGTCGGAATAATCAGTAACACTCTTCCTCAGGATTCTGTGCTATAGATACAATCACCGGAGCCCTATGCAGGCCCTTTTTTCAATTCTTCAGGCACCTTTTTTCATGCCAGGATCCTCGCCCTAAACCTGGTTCAGGAACCCCCTAAGCCCTAAATTCGAAAATCCCTAAACCCTAAACTAAAGGGGACCACAAGGACTACGAATAGGTAATCTGTGGAGTTTCTTTGGGGCCGAGGAAGCGCGAGGCAGACATGGCTCTCGCTGCTTCGAAGGCCCAGGACAAAGCCGACCTCGAGGGCGACCTGATCGGTTCAGGGTTTTTGGGAAATTTGGGGTTTTGGGGTGTTGGGGTTTTGGGGTTTGGGGTTTAGGGTTTGGGGTTTATAGGGTTTAGGATTTATAGGGTGTAGGGTTTAGGGTTCTGAGAGTCCAGCTTGCCGGCATACAAACAAAGCCCGTGCTGGAAAAGGGTTCGGGGTTAAGTATTAAGGTTCAGGGGGGTCTAGGGGCTTACTTATATCGGGTGTAGTAGGGTCTGTATATCGAGATGTAGGGTTTGAAAGGGTTCGGTGTTTGGGATTTAGGAGTTCAGGGTTACGGATGTCGAGCAGAAACAAGAAGGCAGACAGAACAGCGTGATCCAGCATCAAAATTTAGACTGTAGCGTTTCGTCAGTTGTTCAAACTTGGCCCAAGTAACGCGCCCGAAGAGCATTGGGTGAACATGAAAGGCCGTGAAGTGATTCGATTGCCGTCTCATGCGAAGCACAGATGTGGCTGCGCTTTCGCATGTTGTTCACACACTTGTTACCTCTTGCCTTCAACAGGGGAGACTTGTATAGGCGCTGGCCGACAGCTCTGTGTTGAAGAGGGTAAAGGGTTTAGGGTTATAGAGCCGTTGTCAGTATTTTACATCTTGTCAGTATTTTACATACAAAGAACCTTAAGTAAGAAGCTTTCTATATAACCTCTATGTATATAAATATAAATATATATATATATATGTATATGCATATGTATGTATGTATATATGGTCGCAGAAAACCTGAACGAATTCACAGAGAGCTTCTGGTCTCGAACAGCAGTTGAGTGTGCGAGCTTTTGACTTGTGCGGTTCAGGCTTTTTGAGTTGGTGGCTTAGGCTTTGTAGGTTTGGGGGTTAAGAGTTACGAGTTTTTGTTGTTGCTTTGGTTTATGTCCCTTGCTTGCTTGTGCGCATGAAGTGTGGAATTCAGGTGACCTCAACGACGATAAGAGAGAGAAGGCAGGCACGACGCAGGAGACTGCCGGATGTTTACGGCCTCGGGACAGGGGTGAAAGCTTGAGGGTGCTTAGGGTTAAGGGTTTAGGGCCGAGGTTTGAGGTTTGACAGTTTCTGAGCCTCCCAACTCTCATCATGAAACTAAAAGTCTGCACGAATGCCTAAGAGATTGTGTAGCAAGTAGTTCAGCCCTTAAGCCGCACAAGGAGTCTGCAGCAGCTGCGAAGTACACTTCCGAGCTCCACAGCGAGTGTGACTGGCCCCTCTGGCAACATCCGGAATTCAGATGAGGGACAGAACACTGATAGTCTGCTTTTGAGGCTAAGCCGCAGGCACTAGGCCCTGAATCTGAACTTGTGCGCACAGTTCTGTGCTGTAAACTCACTTATAGAGCCCGTGACTAGAAGTATAGAATCGCTAACAGAGCCCTTATGGAACCGCGGTGCCTTCAGAGGGAGGCTGATGGCTCAGGCTCCTGGAGCATTTCGACCTGCGAGAGCAAGCGCGCACCGAAGAGAAGGAATCTCGCCGTCAGGGTTTAGGCTTAGAAGGTTTTAGGATTCAGCTACCGTTTGTTCTGGTCTTCCGTGGATGTAGGGCTTTGGGTTATAATGGGATGCGTTTGGAGTCGCCTGCACCATAAGAACGCTGAGGAAAGCCTTATCCGCGCCAAGACTGTTCTGGGGGGCATGTGAGTCAGCATCGTTACGGGGCCAATGCGCCCGAGAGCGTGACACCTTAGAGAGCCCCTTTTCGAGCCCATTTTCTAAGCATCAAGGCGGGCTCGAGATGCTTGCTTGAAACGCCCGTTTCGTGTTACCTCAGTGCTTGTGCGAGATGGAGCCCTCTGCGACGCATGCGGAAAAAGGGTGTGTTGAAGGGTTAAGGCTGACCTAAACCTTTCAACCCGAAGCTCCTGAACTAAACCTTTCATGAGCTATAAATCTTACAGCTCCCAACAGAAGCCACTTTCAGCGCTTCACTTCCCGGATAAAGACGTCTCGTGAAAGTCGGGCATTCTGACCGTTGCAGGATGGAAAGGTTTCTGAGCTCCTACCAGACGACTACGAAGACCCTATGATAAAGCATTCCGCACGTTGGTATCGGCATCACCCAGGGGTTTCATAGCTGAGGCGCCGCTCGCAACATTTCCGGCCGATCCACCGGTCTGGATCGAGAAACCCAGGACAGAAGACGGGCATAAGCGGACTAGCGTTTTTGTAGGGTTGCGAATCGGGATCTATGGGTGTTCGCGAGGGTTTTAATTTATAGAGGAAATGGCCAGACCCCAGGCCCAAAGCCGTCAACTGGCTCTCAAGCCGGATCCTTGAATTCCAAAAGAAAAGAGCCCCGACATGCCCCGACCAAGTCAAGCTGAACTCCGTCCCCTCCACCCGACCCCTATACCCCCAATAACAACATCAACAACAGCAACAACACCGCCAGCACCAGCACCAGCAACAGCACCAGCAGCAGAAAAGAAACAAGCATAACATAAAACAGGAAGAGCAACAATGAGAATGACAAGAGCAAGAGCAATAACCCTGTCAATCTGAAGCTTAAACCGCTGAAACCATGTCCGACACCCTCCGGCTCCTTTTTTCAGCTTCGGAGTCGAATTACGCAACTCACACCAAAGCTCCAAGGTGCCGAAGGAGTTTATGCGGGCTGTATTTTACATGCTGCACTCCGACGCACTCTTCTGGGGGGGTCCCTTCGTCCGAACCCGGCAAATCCCCATTCCGGATCGAACCGTTCACGAATTATGCTATCCAGACAATGCAAATATTGCCAAGTTGCTATGTGCATGTGTGTATATATATAT